CTATTAGAACCAAACATATGCTTACTTCTGTCTATTGCAACAGTAAAATGGTGAGACAGTAATGACTATTTTGGAAAGTATCTTTTTTTTTTTTACCTGACAGAAGATGGAAGATTTATGAACCAAAATACTATGGAAGATTCTTCTCTATTTTGTTTTCTGGTGTTTGAAGCGTTCCACTGAATTTCTTCTTGCCCTTTGGGAACAACAAACAAATATAGAAATCAAAACGAGAAATTAATATGCAGTCTGTCTTTTCAGCTTTCTCTCAGAAGAACCTTCAAGACAAGTATATTTACTTATTTATTGAGTTATGAAGCCAGAAAACATGTTTGTTTGTGGGAAGTCACCACAAGGGATTTGATTTGTACCATGAAGAGATTTTAACTAACATTTTCGACATGCTTGCTCGACTTTAGTTAAGGTCAACTGTTTTGAAGTCTCTGAAATGTTTTATTGACATATTCTGAAAGGAAATCTTTGAATAAACACACAATCTCAATCTTTGGTGCATGAGTAGAATAACATCAAAGGTTAAATAGGATTATCTTTATATTCTTGATTTTTCTTGACAGTTTTATAGTAACACCACCCCTTATTTATAGATTTATAATACCTGAAACCCTAAATAGTATTGAACCCAATATATAATATACTTTCTCCATACATAGATACCAGTATTTATAAATTAATAAAATATTACCAGTATTTATTAAAAAAAGTGTAACAATTCTAACAATATAATGTGATAAAAATATATCTGATTATTGATGGCAAATTTCATTTGTCCAAGAACTGGCTTCATTGAAACCATTAAATTGAATTTTCACTTTGTCAAATGGTTCACTTCACCAAAAAAATTCCAAATGTAGAAAATTAAAGAGATTTGATTTCAATCTGTGGGAATGACTGCAAAACACTTGTCCCTCCTTTATTTATAAGCCATAGCACACAAATGCATGCTGGGATTTATTTTCTTAACCAATAAAATAGGCTGGTTTACAGTTTGACCTTGCATATATTGTTGCTTGATATTATTTCATTTTTGACCTGTTCCTTTTTATTGCAAACTTTGTTAATTCTATTTGTTGGACAGTTCTGTTCTTTATTTTGCATTTGACCATGGCTACTTACTCCACAGATAAGTTTCATATCTGAATAAAGCTTTTATTCTTTATTTTTTATTTTTTTTTTTTATAAATTACTTCATTTCAAAATTTCATTTTAAAAACAATATTTACAACTTACATTCATTAACCCATTACCTGCCATGAGCCCCATTTGAGGATCTGTTAAAATTAAACTCACTACATGTTATTCCTTGTATTTACATTGAATTGCTTACATACATTGCATTTGCAGAGGTATATTTTACAACACTTAGCCTTTAAAGTATTTATTATTAGCCGTAAGAAGACACTTTCTGTCATAATTTTACATTTCACGAGTAGAAAAATAATGACTATTTTGGAAAGTATCTTTTTATTATTTCTAATCAATATTATTTTTTGATGTTTTATACACATATATATTTGATTTTCTAGTTTCTATAAAAATGACAATGGTATCTACTGAAATTAAACATAAGGGATAAATAAACTCCTAAGACACCTGTCTCGGCCAAAAATGCGCATTAAAAGTATTTGGCAGTTAATGAGTTAATTCAACAGTTGTTTATTTACTTAAGGCAATGAGCACCTTTGTGTTTTTCTATAAATTGAAAATATCAATAATTTTAAATATATGAGTTCAGCAAAACAGTTGAAATTCCAAAGAAGAAATTAAGTTGGTTGATAAAAGCTTTGGGTGAAATGAATGCTTTTTTTCCTGATGTGCGAGTTAAAATAAAAGTTTGTATGTGTGTTAGATAAGCAAGGAGGTTTACATGCATACCGAGTGAAATAGAGTGTGAGAGAGAAGTGTGGCTTTGGTCAGTGGAATTAGTTTAGATGATTGAAGACTGTTCCCTTGAGGTTACCAGTAGCTGAAAACAAAATCACACAAAATGAGTACATCTAACAAATTTTTGTTTATATTGCTTTGAAGAGGCTCAAGGCTTAGGACCTTTTAACACTACAATATTACAATTTGAATAGACTGTTATTTTCGACTCTGACATGTAGCATGTTCGGTAATAAGAAGGTATGTGCATGCAGAATGCAGGTGTATTAATGTTACTTAATATTTTCTCTTTATTCTATGAATATTTAAAAATGAGTGAAATAAATGCCAATAAATTCATGATCCAATCAAAAATACATGTTGAAATAAGATATTAAAGAAAAAAAAAATGTCTTAATTATTTCTTCCTTATATTTATTTTGATATTTATAGCAGTTAAGAGAACAAAATGGAAACCATGCACTCAAGCCAAGTATCATATAGTAAACCACTGGCCATTTTCCTTTTGGGAAATATAAGTAAGACCCTCTCACTTTTCACCCCTCTCATGCTACTTGTGGAAATAAGATATCATAATTTCTCTGGATCGTTCAAGTAATGACACACACACACACATATATATATATATTAACATGTCATTACTTGAGAGATGCAGAGAAATTATGATATCTTAGTTCAACAATGTGAGAAGGTCTTATATATCTATCTCTCTCTCTCTCTCTATATATATATATAGCATAATGAGAAGCCAAGTATACTTTCTTAATATGTATATAGAAAAAGTTGCAAACTGAAAAATAATGTCTTTTATGAAAGTATTTATTTATTTATTTATTTATATATATATATATATATATATATATAAATAAATACTTTCATAAAAAAACATTTTTTTCAATTTGCAATTTTTTCTCTCTCTCTCTCTCTCTCTCTCTCTATATATATATATATCATATAGAATTTTATTCTATGTAATTTATATACTTTGTTATAATAAATACATTGAGCTCTTTTTGGGGATCAGTTTTAATATTTTACATTATTAGGATTCACTTGTATTATTTACCAATGGATTATTACCTGTGTGTGTGTGTATATATATATATATATATATATGATTGATACAGATATAAAATTTGTCACTTAGCTGATTGATGTCATATTCAGCATCCTGAGTTTTGTAGACAGACTCTCCAACAACCGCTCCTTCCACTCATCAGGAGATACCAGCAATTGACTGCTTATTTTCTCATTTTCATTATTTTTATATTAAGTTAAAAAATAATGTATACACTTTTATTGCTGTAACATTTTTTTCTTGTGTGTGACTGTGTGCATGCATGTGTGTATACTTGCCTTCATATATGTGCATATGTATGGAATGTCATGGTTATTTCTTGTTCACCCACTACAACTACTCAAAAAGACCCCCATCTTGAATATTAGTGACTATATTCAGCCAGTGGTACACCTAACAACTTTAATACTTCTAGTTTCAAAGCTGATCACTCAGTTTATATTTTAATTGTTTTATTTATTTATGTCTATGGTATATATTAGTGTGTCATGCAACTTTTGAAGACCTAATTTTGAAGCTAATTTTAAGTGGATCAAATCATACATGAGATATAGCATATTGACCAGAAGTATATATGGGGGATCATTTTTACAACATTTTCCATGGTAATAGCCATAGAGTAGTGAGAGGCTTGCAATGTTAAATATGTGGGAAAGGGAATTGTCAGATAGAAAATAATCTACCACACCACAAAGTTGTGTATATGTTTTTGAATTTTGTCATGGTTGAAAAGAGAGGCTATCTAGGCTGTAGTTTCCCAATCCTCTCAGCAATAGTTCATTTTTGGTCTGACCGGACTCTTGTAAAGATAGAATGTGGCAGGTGGAATTAGATATTTTCTGGCGCAGAATGAGAAGCCAACCATTTTTCCAGCATCTTTAGTGACGGATCATGTATATGGGATCCACTTGAGGTCTAGATTAGCTTGTGTCCTGATAGATGCTCAAAGGAAGGGGACACTTTGTGAGTGCAATGATTCATTTGAATGGATGAGAATTCAGTGTCAGCTTGATGATGATAAATTACTAGTTTGTTTTTTGATGTATTGAAAGTTATAATTTAAATATTTTTTTCCCTCGTTGGGCTGTTAGATCTAATGGCAGATTAACTAACAGACTTTAGTCTTTCAGATGCTTGAAGGTGACCCTCTAAACTGTGATATCATCTGTGTAAATATTTACTGAGAATATGAGGATGGTCAGAAACCTAACCATTGACAATGACTTTCAAGGACATGCTTGATAAGGACTTGATGATTGTGAGAACACTTCTAGAGATGCCCTAGTTGGAGAGTGTGTTACAACCTTCTATATCATGCTTTGTTAATCAGGAACTGAACTAAATTACTCTGCCACCATGTGTGTACCATCCTGAATATGACGATAAACTACATCCGCATCCTGGGTAAGACGATAAACTATGTCCAACAGCAAAGCCTCTGATCAGGAGGTTTTGAGGAGTGAGGAACCACCTCTTAATTGCTGGTGTTCCCAGGTCCACCCTGATCCAGGGTGGTAGCACCTGTTAGGGTTCCAGCTATGGGCAAATAGTTAACCCTGAAATTGATGTAAAAAGCATAAAAATGGGTTTTAATACCAGAGATACTTTGTAAAAGAATTGTTACCAGAATTAATTTTTTGAAGAAAAAAAAAATATTATCAGCAATATATTTAAAAAAAAAAAAAAAAAAAGAAGTATTACTAGCAATAAATGTTTTAAAATAATATTACCAGCTATACATTTTTGAGGAAAAAAATATTACCAGAAATAGATTTTTGACAAAACAAAATATTACCAGGAAAAAAAAAGTTGTTGGCATTAAATAACCCAATGAGGTTGATATGCCATAAAACACAACAAACCAAATTATGTGTGCAGATGTTATTTTTTATTCCAGCCATTTTTATTGCCTCAAAGATCGATGTATTTTAAAACTTTCATTTACATATCTTTTCCTATATTTATTTTTCAGTATGAATTTAATGACAGTGACCGTGAGTGTGCATTGAAGAACCTGAAGATGTTCTGTGTGGACCGTATCCCTTGGGATACGCTGACCTATATCACTGGTGAAGTAAGTACAGATTGCAACACAATGCATTTTAACCTTAACTCTAAGCATGTTAATTAACAAAATCTTGTCAAAACTTGGTAGATATTTTTCTGTTATATGTGTATATAATAGCTCTAGTCCAACAGTAATATTTGTAGCCCTTTCTTCCTGATTTTCAATGCAATATATAGACTATTATCTCAGGGACTGCCCTTCCAGCTAGCTGTGCTCCTGTATGTGATTATTTCTTTAGCCTATAATGGAATAAGAGAGGAATCTACTTCTGGTTTTGAATCCAGTATTCTTCTCCAAGACTGGTTGCCAAACAAGGTTAGACAGCCAAATATACTCAGAGAAGGGCATTAATGCAGCTGCACCTCCTTTCAGATATATATAATATTGTTTTTACATTTATCACTCTGCATCATTATAAATATTACTTCCCCTTTTACTGTACATGGAATCCCCTCAAAATATAGTGTTTTATATATTAATGCTATATATTAGAAATTGCAGTAGCCTGGTTCACAATTTCAGTCAAGATTGTTCTAGGTGTTGCCATAGAAGGATATGACTACACGACCAAGAAATTCAACTTGCATTGGCAGGACTAACATTTTGCTTGGTGAAAATAGTCACCTATGGAGTGCTAAACATTCAACATTATTTTTAGTGGATACTCATATTTGAGTAAGCACACTGTTTATTTATTAAACAGTATATTTATATTTTTGTCTAACACTATATATATATATATATATATATATATATATATATATATATATATATATATATAATATATATAATATATATATATATATATATATATATAATAAAGTAAACTCTTGGTTATCAATGTTTCTTAAAGCTCATTACAATCTTTAACAAAATATACTATTTGCATAACTTAGATGCTAAAATGATTCCTTTACTCTAACTAAAATATATAAGTTTTAAAAATCTTTTTTTTTTTAAATATATCTATCTCAAGTATGTGTATGTATTAGTGTGTTTCTGTATCTCTGTCTGTGAATTTTACATTTATGATCAGTAGTGCTGACTGATATTGTGTTTCCTCAACACTCCCCAGTCACACTCCTCACTCCAATCCTCCAGTTGATGAGTTAAGGCTTTCTTTGATTTTCGCTGACTTTAAATCATCAATCCTTATAATCGTAATATGTACTTCTTGCTTAATCCTTTTATGCACTTTAACAGCCAGATTTTAAAATCCACTACCTTCAGTGGCTCTTGGGCCTTGTAATAGGTGAACTAAATAAAATACAAATCTAGCCAGATTCTTAATCCAATCAAAACATTTTACCCAAAATCCGCTATTTGTTTGAATTTCTATTAGTGTATTAAATTAAAACTTTATGGTAAGTGTACAAAAGGTGGATTGCAACAATTTTGATCAGTAGTGTACTGTGAACCTGCTTCTGGAAGCGATTCAAACCAGCAAATATTAGAGATCTGAATTGAATTTAATGACCATCAAGAGCCTTTGATCTATGAGGCGTGGTCCCCAATATATACTGGGTTTACACTAAGAGGTACCAAAGTAAACTTTGTATTCGGTGTCACATCAGAATGTCAAAAGAAGTAGTCAACTCAGCTGGTCTTGGGACACACATCACATTCAAACACTGATTCCCGTATGATCACTGAAGTTAAGCAATGGGAAGCGTGGTCAGTACCTAGATTGGTGACTGCTTGGGAATCTTAGGTGGTGAAGTTTGAATGTGCAGTGGGTGTAATGGATAATGACTCTGAAATGTTAATCGGAGACCTGAGTTTCGATTCCAGTTGGGTTCATTATATTCACTTATGCACAAATACTCTTGGGTATCGACCTCTTTTCCTCCCAGTTATGGGTTAATTAGTAAGACTTGTATCACTCAACTGTTATCAAAAAAAAAAAAAAAAAAAAAAAAATTGCAGATAAAATATTTCACTTTTGGCATTAACTAACCCATAGAGGTTGATATGGCTGACAAGAAGATCAGTAAGTGGGGAGGTAGTCCCTCTCATTATTGCGAGAAGATCAAATGTTTGAAGAAATCCCCCCCAAAAACACATGCCCTCAAAGCTGATGTTAATTTGATGGAGTCTAAAAACGCATAAAAAATAATTTTATATATGAGAAATTGTATATTCTTATCAAATGTTACTAACATAATGTTACTGAAGAATGAAGGTGAGTCATAAATAAAAGCATAAAATTGTGGGGGTGGGGAAATTGGTCCAAATCAGAATTGGTCTCATTTGTAGATTGTGTAAATCTTTGATTTTTTGGTGAAGAGAAACTACAATGATTGGGAAAAACAACAACAAAAAAAAAATATAAACATTAAACATAGAAGTATGTGCAAATGGTCGACTTAGCAAAAAAAAAAGAAACAAAACTGGGCCTGTTAGGCAAAATAAAACTGTTCTGCCTTTAAATGTGATCCTGTAACAGAGAACTTGCATTTTTAGGGATTAGGGAAGATATTTGTCTTTGAGAAAAGAAGAAATCTGATGCATATATAGAGAAATATGGTTGAAACTGTGAAGGAATGGAAGAAAAAAAAATAGTATGGCTGAGAAAGGAAAAAGAGCTAACAAGGAAAAATGAACATGAAAAACAAAAAAAAAATACAAGCCAGGAGAAAATAACATTTTCCGTAAGACAATGTTGCAAAAAAACTGGTTGTTACTTCAATTGACATTCAGCTGGAGGAGGCGGACAGGTGGCAGGGTGGGGGCTGAAATTCTTCAGTCACAGAAGGAGACAATGGCAATAAGATGGAAGATTAGAGAGATTGATGAGTTTTGTTTTTCCGTGATAGGCATCGTAAAATCTTCCCCACAAAAAGGATTAAATGAACCTTAAGTAACCGTAAACAGTTCATCCATCAAATGAAATGGATTTGCATGTGCTTCCTGGCAATGTTTGGCTGCTTGGGTGTGTGGAGTGCAGGAGGTGAATCTAGTCGTGCTTGATGGGTTTGTTTGAGAAAAGGAAGCTGCGAATAATATCCAAAAAAAAAAAAAAAATCAAAGGAAAGGAAAACTAATATTAAAATTAGGAAAAAAAAGAAAGAAACAAAGAGTTCCAAAAGATTTTTGAAGTCAATAACTCTAAGAAAACATTCATGAAATAAGGCTTTCAAATGCACATGGCATTCAGGTGAAGACTATGTTCCCCCACTTCTAATCACACCTTTACTTTCTTTCGCTAAATACTCTCTGTATATCTTGTAATCAATCCAAGAAAAATAAAACCATTTTCTTTTTGACCCCACGCAAAATAAATGTTTTCCTTTCAACTATACATCTCCTTTTTCTATGGGCTGTGTCCATTCAGGATGTTGGCGATATGGCTCTCCACAACTTCCTACCTTTGGCAGCTCTTGGCAATCTTTTATCTTTTTCCTACCCCTGACACACCTGTTTCTGCCATCCATGCTACTGTTTCCCTCTATCCGTTTCTCTTCAGTATGTTGGAGAAATAAAGTTACCTTCTTCTTGTATGTGGACATTGGTGATAATGGCTCTCCACAATTTCCTGTCCTTTTAAATCTTTTTTTTTTGTACAGTCCTGTCAACTGAGGCTGTAGAATACACTGACTTCACCTCTGCAGAGGAGTAAGAACGCCCTCCCACCAATGGGGTGTCCTGGGTATGATGGTAAACTGCATTCGCGTCCAGGGTAAGATGATAAACTATGTCCAACAGCAAGGCCTCTGATCAGGAGGTTTTGAGGAGCATGGAACCACCTCATAATTACTGGTGTTTCCAGGTCCACCCTGATCTGGGGTGGTAGCAACTGTTAGGGTCCCAGCTATGGGCAAATAGTTAACCCCGAAACTGAGGTAAAAAGCATTATAAGTTTAAAAATGGGTTTTAATACCAGAAATACTTTGTAAAAATTATTGCCAGAAATAAATTTTTCAAGAAAATAACTATTACTGGAAATGTATTTTTGAAAAAAAAAATTACCAGCAATATATGTGATTGTACTCAAAAATATGTGTAATTGAAAAACTGTTCAAATATATATGTATACATACACACCTTTTTTTTTACCAAACTATTGCTATGAATCTATTTCAAAAATTTTGTTGGCATTAAATGACCCACTGAGGTTTTGATATGCCATAAAACAACCAACTTTTTTCTCTAATCTCTCCTAAACCCTGCTCTGCAATCTATTTGTTCAAGCTTTGCCAAGTTGGTTGTGTTTTGCTTTCAATTGTCCCTCTTATCTTCAATCTGTCTTGTGAGTATCAAATTTTCCTAGCCCTCTTTCCTGTAGTTAAGCATAAATGTCATTTATGTTATCATTGTCTCTAAAACTTTGACGTTGGTCCCATGTTCGGTACATGGTATTCTTAACAACATTTGTTGCTTCAAGCCTTTTCATCATAAACAGACAAAATAATGGCTGGAATAAGGGAGAGATAAATTTAGAGACTCTTGCTGCTGTTAAGACTGAAATTATAATAACCAATAGGGTCTAAGCTAATTGGTCTAAGTAAAAACTGGTCTTTAAGTCTTGCTTTTCTTTGCAATTCCTACTTACCATTTTACCATTCCTGAAGATCCTCTTTGTTGGATTAGTGTTTCAGCTAATACAACTCAGTATCTTACTCTTTTCTATCAAGTCTTGTTGTTCTTCTATGTTCTATGCCCTTTCATGATGTAGATGAGCATAGCTCTCCACAACTTCCTGTCCCACATAACTGTTAGCAGTGTTTTTCTTTTTGCTACACCTCCCACCTGCACTTCCATGATTTATTTTCACAAGATAATCAGGTAGATGGCTCGCTCACTTCCCCTATCTTTTTGCTCTCAATATGCCCTGTGAGGGTTAATTTTTCCAAGCCCTCCTTCCTCATTATGTGTCACAAAAATTTAAGCTGTCTCCTTTTACTCCTTCTGTCCGTGGAATTCTCAGCATCTTTCTTTAGAACCACATTTTTGGTGCCTCCATTTTTGGGAGAATGTCCAACGTTCACCATCATACAAGAGGAACATCATATAGCTATTCAGCACTCTTTGTTTCCAACAAAATTTTCCTGGTTTTATTACTTTGTTTAGCTTTACAAGAATGCCTTGTTCACTAATCTGATGTACTTTCAGTTTTAGGTGACATTTTCTTTTAGATGACATGTTTTGAAGTTGACATATGTTAGGTTACAAGGGAATTTGTTACAATTATCTAATGCAACATTCTCATTAAAAATCCTTTTTTTCCTCTTAATGGCTATTTATTAAAGTTTGAAATGCTTTGAACAAAATAAGGTCAACTCCTTTTCCACTGATGATCTTAGTTTTCTTATTTCTTATTAAAAAAAAAAAAAAAAAAAAAATAATCACCACACAAATGCACATGCATCCTTGGTATGATGATAAACTACATTTAGCAACAAGGAAGTTTTGAGAAGCATGGAACCACCTCTTAAATACTGTTGTTTTCAGGCCCACCCTGACCCAGGGTAGTAGCACCTGTTAGGGTCCCAGCTATAAGCAAATAGTCTTCAATTTATCTATGAGAAAATTGTCAAGCATTCACAAGCGTTTTTTTTTTTTTTTTAAAGCACTTTTTACTTTGTTCCTAACAAAATTTTCCTGTTTGGATTTTGGAAGACATCATTTGTTATTCTGATGTGCCTTTGGACTTTAGTGTGACATTTATCATCATTTGCTGAAACACTTCAGATATTTTTACTGCAAGGAAGGTTAGGTCACTGTGTCATAGCAGTAGGTCTTTTTTTCATTATCTTACACATTTACAAATCTACCATTCATCCGTACATTGCCATATCTGGTCAGGTGCTCCTGCTACTCATCTTGAGATTCTTGACAAAATACAAAGAATAATCTGCAATGTAATCAATCCTGACTTGGTATCTCAACTCCAGTCTCTTTCTCACTGATGTGATGTGGCTTCCTGCTGTCTTTTCTTCAAATATTTTCAAGGCAACTGCTGTGACAAGCTTTTTTTCCCCACCGGTGCCCGACAATGTGTTTAAGTGTGCTACTAGATTGGCATCAAGGTCCCACGCTTTTATGTTGAATTAGGTAAATGTAACCATCACTCGTATCCCAACAGTTTCTTTTCTCATACTTCTCGCCTGTGGAACACTCTTCCATTTCCTTGCTTCCCTGATAACTACAATCTTCAAAAATTTAAATGCAATGTCAATCACCATCTTCTGTCTCCTTGAATCCTGCTTATTTTTTATCCTTTTCTCAGTCCCCGCTATGCTCAGACTTTTTTTTCTCTCTGTAACACTTTGTATACTAGTGGCATTCCTGCCTTGTTTGGGATGAAATGATTAAAAATAAATGTTTAAATTTCTGTATTTGCTTGGTTATGACATCTTGCTGAGGATGATACTTTCTGTCTTAATAAAATTGATAGTCCTCCATTCCCACCTTCTTTTATAATTCTGTCTAGGAGTTATTGAAGTTAATTTTTGTCTATTGTAAAGGTATTTTAGTGATCAGTCAGTTATATGCCATGTGTGATACATGCATAGGCAATCATGTATCTTTCGATACATGACTGACAAGGCAGAATTTTTTCCGCAGTAGGTTGCTATTTCTTTTCGTGGTAGACCAATTGCCATCCAAGGCTATAGAACCTGGTCTGTCTTGCTATTTGCCCATAGCTGGGGGGAGAAGAGGTGGATTCATACTTTTCACAAGTGTATGTGAATGAATATAACACAATGAGAGTTAG